TACTAGAGAATACAGATGTGACTATAGCACTCTTTTTTAAAGGTAATTAATCCACCCCATTTTTTCTTACATCAATCATATGCATATAATATGAATAACAACTAATACATAAAAAAAATTTAAGTTGTCAACTTGCATTAACTCCTTAAACAACATATCAACAACTTCTCCTCCACAACAATCAATCAAAACCTCCACATACGTTGATCCCATACTTCCATGCTTTCAACATTTTAAAACAAGAAATAAAAATGGCCTCCACAAGGGCCGATGTACGAGTAAGGTAATAAAGTTCAAGATACACCACAAAATTGGTCACTTAAAGGCAAGTGACCCCCCTGAGTATAAGTATAAGAAGCATTAAAAATGTGCAATCATAAAAGAATTTTATCAAACATAAAGACCATATAACTTACAAATTTTGATGTACTTGATTGGCCATGTAATCCACGCTCCCGTTGTTGTCTTTTCCCAGCCCCTTTGGAAGACTACATTTCAAGTACATGAAAATCAATTAAAGAAAATATAACACTAAAATACACCCTAAGTGGAGATAGTTAAATGAAAAAACTCAAAAATAAGGGGCATTATAAACAAATACACACAAATTCAAGATCACAAAACATCATTAAAACTTCTTTGCATGATCATATGAGAAGTCCACAGAGAATCCATGGAATGGGAAGCCATTTCAACACCACTGGTTTGGATTGAATTGTAATTGGGAAAGCTTTGAGCTGAAAGGGTTTCAACACCACTAGGGCGGATCATATATTAATGAATAATTATGCTTTAATGCTTAGTGTTTTACACTTTTTAGTTTTTATATTACCTATCATCTAATTTTTATTTTTATATCCATGAAATAAGGGAAAGGGGTGGGCCTCCATCAGAAAAGATATATATATATATATATATATATATATATATATATATATATATTTGCTTATAAATATATGAACAAACCACTTTTTTATTGGGCACTGGAATTAAATCGATCTATCTTGTTATTAGCTGAAATGGGATAACACAAGTGGAAAAAAAAACAAAAAAATGGGATAACGCTAGTAAACCAAGATTATTGCTCCTTTTACTATTGTTTTTTTTTTTTTTTTTTTTTTAATTGATTGGAGTATCTGAAGCACCAAAAATTAGAAGGAAACCCAAAAATCTGTTTGAAATAGGTTTTCCAAAAAAAACGTACTTCCCTTTGAAAATTCATAAAAGAATAAATTCTCAAACAATTTGCATGAATCCAAAGTCCATTGGAAGCTTAAACATTATATTTTTCTTCTATCAATTTAAATCAATAAATTTTCTTACCGATTAAATCAGGTTTGAAGGAAAAGATAGGAAAAATTCTGCTCACAAAACAGTTTTGACAGCATGTTAACATCAACTTCGAAAATCCATAGTAATTTCAAAATGCAATCAATTTGAGCCAAAAAAAAAAAAAGCCTGTAAACTCATTAATAATTGTACTATCATATCCAAATTTAATTTAAAATATAACAATTCTAAGTATAGATATTTCAGTTCTAAAATTAGTATGTGTGGTTCCATTTTCCAACACAACTCTTCACTTAAATTCTAACAATTCTTCAGCTAATTGAATTAAGATAATGTAAAGCAAGTTGTAAAGTTGCTAGAATTAAACCAAGCAAAGCAAGCATCATTATAATAAAGGTGCATTGAAAAATGAATCAGAATAGAAGTGGTTGTGGATTAAATATTTTACCTTCGAGTGTCATGGCGTTGTTCTGCTCCTAAGTTCCTAACAAATTGTTGGTCATGGATCCTGTCAGAAAAATATTTCAAAAATGTAATGCTAACAAATATAAAATATTCACATTGTATGTTAATATTGACTGCTTTGCCAAAAAAAAAAATTAAAACAAAACCCATACAACAAGTTAGCAGTTGCAGAGAAAGGGGCTTGAGAGTTGAGAGACAGAGGGCCAGCAGCTAAAGCTTATGAATGGCAAACCCGAAGTGGAACGGCGAACTCGAACTGGAACAGCCGGCAACGGAAACTGAAGGATATGTTTTAATTTTTTAAACAATCTGAAATGATATGCCGATATGGCTTTTGATATAGGTAATAGGTTTTGAAATTTTGATTCTTGCAAATAGATAGATAAACGGAATTATATGGGTTTTCAACGTCTAATTCTTGTAAATTTTGTGGTTTGCAGTTGCGCAGAGAGAGAAAGAGGGCAAGTTCAGAATCGAGAACGAGAATAGAGATGGAGGCGATTGGGGAGGCTGAAATGATTTGCCCTAAAAATATTTATATTGAATAATTGAAGAAATAACTTACCTAAATAAGGGCCTTCAGCTTGTTTCAACCCAAATTTACCAGTTAATCTTTCAAATCCTGCAAAAAATTTCACTAAATAGGATTTAGTTTGCAAAACAAGAATTACAGACACATGATTAATTGATTTAGAAAAGAAAAAAATTAAAACAAAACCCATACATACAAGTTAGCAGTTGCAGAGAGAGGGGTTTGAGAGTTGAGAGAAAGAGGGCCAGCGGTTGAAGCTTGCGAACGGTGAACCTGAACTGGAATAGCGGGCGATGGAAATTGAAGGATATGGGTTTTGATTTTTTGAACAATCTGAAATGATATGCCGATATAGGTTCTGATTCTTATAGATTTTGTAGTTTGCAGTTGCAGAGACAGAGAGAGGGCAAGTTCAGAGTTGGGAACGAGAATAGATATAGAGGTGATTTGGGAGGCTGATCTGATTCTTATAGATTTTGTAGTTTGCAGTTATAGAGGCAGAGAGAGGGCAAGTCCAGAGTTGAGAACGAGAATAAAGATAGAGGCAATTTGGGAGGCTGATCTGATTCTTGTAAATTTTGTAATTTGCAGTCGCAGAGACAGAGAGAGGGCAAGTTTAGAGTTGAGAACGAGAATAGAGATGGAGGCGATTTAGGAGGCTGAAATGATTTGCCCGTATGTGGTCTGTCCGTGTGTGTGTGGGGTCTGAAATGATTTGCCCTAAAATTTTAAGGTAAGTAGCGGGAATAAGACCCGCGTAAAGCCTTGCACTAAATTCACTTTCTACCATGGTGCCTGAACCGTGGTAGAATAACTTACTACCTCGGTTTTCCATTAATCGTGGTATAAATAGCAGGTCTAAATTTGTGTTAAATTAATTCACTTTTTTTACCAATAAATTCACTTTCTACCGCGGTTCTTTTATAACCGTGCTAGAAAATACAATTACTACCACGGTTTTCCCTTAACCATGGTAGAAGGTGTCTTTTACCACGGTTATTTTAAAACTGCGGTAAAAGGGCGTTCTAAAAAACTATTTTTCTTTTAGTGCCCGCATTTGAAGAGAAAGTTTTATCCGCTTTGGGTACTTTGTAGGCAAATACCCAATTGCTTTATTCTCATTCCCAATCGATTGCAAAGCTAGAAACCCAAGTTGGGCAAATAGCTAGTACATTGAATGCTAGAGAAAAAGGGAAAATGCCTTTGAATCCACCACCAAAACAACAATTTGTTGTAGAGACTAATTCCTCTTCGGAAGGTCATACACTTGAACATGTGAATGTGGTGACCTCTTTGAGAAGTAGAAGAGTTTTTGACAATCAAGGTGGTGTTCCCAATAAAGAGAGTGAACCGGTGCAACCCAAAGTTGACACCCATCCCATCTCACATCATATTCCTCCTTCATTGCATGTGAATGAATCTAATGTTGAAAATGTTGCAAATAATGATTTTGAAAAAGTTTTCGAGCCTAAAGCTCCGTTTCTGGAAGCTTCAAAAGCATCCATCTCTCTTGAAAAGCAACAAAACAAGGCTAATGAAATCATTGATGTGTTTAGGCAAGTTAAAATCAATCTTCCTCTCTTATATTCAATTCGACAAATTCCGATTTATGCCAAAATTTTGAAAGATCTTTGTACTCTTAAGAGGAAAAACAAGAGCCAAGCACCTAGAAAAGTTGTTTTAACCAAGCAAGTAAGCTCAATCTTACAACACAACACCCTCTTAAAATTCAAAGACCCCGGTTCATCGACTACTTCATGCACTATTGGTGATCATCTTATTAATTGGGCTCTTTTTGATTTAGGAGCGAGTGTGAATCTTCTCTCTTACTCGGTTTATGTTCAATTAGGCTTAGGTGATTTAAAACCGATATCAATAGTTTTGTAACTAGCCGACCGATCCATTAAGAAGCCCCAGGGTATCATTGAAGATGTATTGATTAAAATTGACAAGTTCTTCTTACCGATTGATTTCGTTGTCATTGACACAGAATCGATCCCAAATTCTAAAAGCCAAATTCCTGTTATCCTTGGCCGTCCCTTATTGGCTACCGGTAATGCCAACATCAACTGTAAGATGGGGATAATGAAGATTTCATTTAGTCACATGAAAGTGAAGTTGAATATTTTTAATCCAACCCTTAATTCTATGGACAAACATGAAGAGATATGTGTTGTTGAAAAATGTTTTGAGAATGAACTTGACAAAAATGAGTCTTTGCTTGGTGTTAAAACTTCAAATGATTTCTTTTCCAAAAAAGTTTCAAATGAAAGAGTTTTTAAGTCTAATTTTGCACGAGCATGGAAGCCAAAATGTTTTATTGATCAAGGGCCATCAATTTCACTTAAACCAAATCCAACAAGTTCCTTAGGGAATAGTTTGTTGGGTGGGATTCAAAGTTCCATTCACCCCGTTAAGGAGGGGATGCATACTAAGATTTTTGATCCGGGCTAAAAGAGCCCAACGTCTTGCTAGAGACGTTAAAGACTAGTGCTTTGTAGGGTTTGCTAACGTATTCCTCCCTCATTTCTTGTTTTGATATTTTCTGCGTCGTCTAGATATGAGTCGAATTGAAAAATCTAGTTGCTGAGCAGTTCCTTGTATTTTCTACACTTCCAGTGAAGCTTCGATTGATCGAAGTCAAGTTCAATTGATCGAAATTCCACTTCGATCGATCAAAGTCCTTGAATCTGTGACTTTTCACCTTCCATCTCAATCGATCGAAATACATTTGGATCGATCAAAGCTCATCTAAATCGATCAAAATACATTTGGATCGATCGAAGAAAGTGTTCAATCGATCGAAAATCCTTCGATCGATCGAAATTGCGTCTTTTGAATTTTCGAAAAATGCTTTGGCCGTTCAATTTCCACCCTAAGCCCTAATTTTTATTTTATTTTCCTTTTCCCTTTTCTTTTTCTTTTTCTTTTTCTTTTCTTTCTTTCTTTCTCTCTCTTCCTCCATCTCTCTCTCTCTTTATTTTCTCCCTCTCTCGGCAAACTCTCTCTCTTTCCCCGATTTCTCTATCTCTCCCTTCCTCTCAAACTCAATCTCTCTATCTCCCACCGGTGAAACCACCACCACTCCAACCTCCTTCTTATTTCTTCCATCCGACAAACCCAAGGAAGCACAAACCTCGCCGCCATTTTTTTCATCATTTTTGGCGAGATTCTTGGCCAAGGGGCTGAGTTCTCCCATCTTTTTCACTCAATCTCTCTCGGGTAACCTTATTTTCATCATCTTCGGCCGATTTAGGCCAAGGAGAGTTTGTCTTTAGCTCCGGCAAGCTTCTGAAATTTCCGGCGAGACTTCTGCGAGTCTCTGGTCATGTTCTCTGGAACACCTCCGTTTTGATCTGAATCCTTCGTTTCAATCTCCTCTTCTCTCTCTTGGATCGGGTAACTTCAATTTCATTATCTTTTATTTTAATTTTTTTGTTTTCTTTTTTTTTTTTTTTTGTTTTGTATTTTCCATTGTTATTGTCATTTGTATATATGCTTGTAATTAAAAAAAAAAAAATTGAAAAACAAATAAAAATTGAAAAATCAAAAAAAAATATATATATATATAAATAATGAAGAAGTGTTAAAAAAAAAAAAAAAAATGGAACAAGGACATATGGATTGTGACTATTGAATATAGTGAATTTGGTTGAATGGAGGATGGGCAAAATCTGAAGTATGGTTATGAATTGTAGTTTAGAAGGAGAATAGGCATTTTTATCATGGATATATGTGCTTGTGGGTAGTGTCCCTTATTGAATTATTTGAATGAAGTTGTTTTGAATTCCATATGCTTATTGATTTTGATTGAATGATGAAATACATATGTGTTTCTTGTGTTTGAAAATTGTGGAAATGACCATTTTTAAAGGAAAATCATGCTGAACTTTTTAAAAATTGGATTTGAGTTTTGATATTTCATTCCAAAAGGCATGTGGGTTATTTTTGAAATTTGAAATGCAATTTGGAAAGAGTTTAGAGGTTAAGATATTGATTTGAGTTGAAAGAAGGAAAATTTTCAAATCTTTGGAAAATTATTTTGAAATTTTAAGTTGAGATAAAATGCGAAGTTCTTGGTTCTTGGATTGTCATGACTTTATCAAAGTGGTATGTTGATTTTAATTTGAATTGAAAATGGACACTTTTTGAACTTGAAATTTTTTTGAAAATTTTAAAGTTGCAATGGCTTTATAGTTTGAATACTTGTGAGCATGATTCCTGACTTGTTTCATTTTGTTTGTATTGAGTATGCAATGCATGGATATGGTTTGATTCTAAATTGTTCTAAATGCATGACTTGATTTGAAATTTGTGCTTTTGAACTTGAAAATGCGAAGTCATGTTTAAATTGCATAAATGAGTTTCAAATGGAACTTTCTTGAAAGTTTTGATCTTAAATTGACTTATACTCATGATTCAAGTGCATTGTTTTGGTAAAATGACTCTTGAATGTTTCAAATGCTTTGTGATCACACTTGTTAGGTTTTAAATGATTAAAAAGGAAATTTTTGAACTTTGTTTTAAAAATGAGAAATTGAGTTGCATGATTCTTGTCATAAGCTTTTATATAATGCAATTGAATGTTTTGATTCCAAAGTCTTCAAAAATTCTAATTTTGCCCCAAAAGTGTCGAGGAATTCCAAAGTTGACCAAAATGCCCTTGTTTGAGTTGAACCTTGTTCCATTTGATTTCTTTCCATCCAATTGCATGTGCTAAGTGCCTTTAAACTTGTTTGTGATAAAAATCTTAATTCTTGCCATGCTAGGGCATAAGTTTGATATTTTCTGACCTTCTTTATCATGATTTTGATCTTCTCTTGCAAAATGAGATACTTTGTCATTCCAACCCAACTTTTTGAAGTTAAATGATTTCACTGTTACTTATTGACCTTGAAACTTGTCAAATGTGTTCCTATTTGAATAATTGTGTGCACTTTGGAATAAATGCACATTGTTGCTTGTATATACACCATTTTGCACATAATTTTGTCACATTGATGGTTTTGAGAGTTTATGTACATATTTTGAACATGTCTTTTTGGAATTAATCTTTGAATAAGTTTGGGGGTAGGAAATGGGTGTTTGTAGTTCAAAATACATGTTTGGGATGTCATTTATGTTCTTTGGCCTTAGTATCACTTTTTGAGCTTAAATTGAATTCTGAAATGCAATTTGACATGAGTTTGAGGATATGTTTGCTCTGTCATGGAAATTATCTGTTAAAATGCCATTTGCTTGATATCATCCACTTGTGATCCATTTCTTGAAAGCCAAGTAAGGGCTTATGATCGAGGTTCTTTCCGGCTCTGATTTTGATCCCACAATGGTAAGCTTCTTGTATTTTCAGTTTTTGACCATTCTATGCTTCATTTAAGCTTTAAAGGGGGTCGCGAGCCATAAACGATCATTTTTTTGTTTATCTATTGCTTAGAGGGGGTCACATGTTATGAGTGATCATAGGATGTTGATTTTGTTGCATTGGAATACGGGATATTTCTCTATCTAGAGTTTGTTGATATATGTGCATCATTTAAATATGTGCCATCTAGTTGTATGCCATGTCTAGGATTCATTCTTTAACTTGTCTGTCATAACATACTTTAGATTGAAGTGTTTTGCAACTATGCATTCCACTTAGTCTTTATTACATGATATGCATGCTTCTTAAGTCCTAGGTTGACATTTGCTATGATTATATGCTCTATGTTATCTTGTTTGCTCCATTTGATCTTCACTATTGCACTTGTAGACATTCTTGCTTAGGAACTGATACGATGTCATCATATGGTCTACTTGTCTTATCATTGCAGCATCTATTTATGTTTAGGTTTGTGAATGCACGTTGCATCATTTATGCATAGTACAGCCTATGCTTACCCTATTGATCACATTGTTACTCAGAATGTTCCAAATGTGACTGTTCTACCCTCTATATCCTTATTGCATATCTGAGATTGCTTATTGTGCTTTGATCTATTCTGTCTAGCTGAGGCATGTTGAATGATAATTTTGAAGCCTTCTTAATCATTTCTTACACAAGCATGATCCTATTTATTTATTCTCTGTTATTAGTTGATTTAGGCATGCTTTGTGTTTTCTTATCAATTGTTTACCTGATCCTATACTTGTGCATTGATTTATTCTTGTTGCTTTTGCAAATGCAGCGTAGATAAAAGACTCTTGCTACACAGAGCTCCATAACCTCCACCACCTCCTCCTTTAGAGGCAAAGTCTTCTTCTTCGTCTTCCTCTTCTGCATCTACAGCATCCCATTCCGAGCCATCTTCTATGGAGGCCGAGCATCCTATTGTCAGAGAGGTACCAACTATTTCCTACTCTAGTTGAAAACTAGAGCCAGAGTATAGATTCGACCGTGATTTATTTTCACACTTGGATCAGACCATGTGGTCCTATGATGAGCTTGTTCAGAGGGGCATTGACGCCATCATAACACCGGTAGACACAGTCGTCTATCCCCGGTTGGTTGCACTGTTCTACCAGTACCTCCGGATGGATACGGATGACAGACTTCTGTTGCATACCACCATTAACGGTCAAGAGATCGATATTTCACTCCTGACCATAGTTGTCACCTGTCGATGCCCCCATTCATCTCCACTACCTACTGATTCTCAGGATCCATTATATCATAGTGCACCACCTTTTCCCTCTGAGCTGACTATGGTAGCTACTCTATCTCCACATGTTCCCTTTGAGGGCAACACCTTTGCAGACCGGGTTGACATTGATCCCCAGTATTGGTTCATGGATTCGGTGTTGTACCTCAATGCCTTTCCATCAGGCCATGGTACTCAGAGGAGAGAGGGGATTTTTCAGGCTCTATACTGTTTAAGCCATGGTTATTGGATTTCTGTTCCTACACTTATTTGGGAGCTCTTTCACAAGTTCTAGAAGAATCTGCATCATACATGCAATTCTAGAGCTGCAGCTTAGCCTTTACCTTATGGCCACTTGATTACTCAGTTACTCAATGACCAGGATTATCAATTTGACCCGAATAAGATCCCAGAGACTGATGCAGAGAGAGATAAGAGAGTCTATGACTAGGCCAGATGGACAAAGACCTATAATTCTTGTGTTAAAAATAGAAAGAACAGGGGTATAAAAGGACAGAATACGCAGCAGAGAGTGGCAGATGAGGCAGCTATAGAGGATACAGCTGATAGATCTCCTCCTAGACAAAGGCGTCGCACTACCACTGTAGCCACTACCTCATAGCCAGATGTACCTACTACATCTCAGCTGGATGACCCCTCTCTTGTCCCTCCCACCGAGCCGATAGCATAGACCAACATTCGATCCCGATATGTCAGCACTGATTCTAGCTACAAATCCGACGTCCTTCAGCTGCACACAAACTTCATTTCATTCAGAGCTGATATGATCGAGCATCATAAGGATATCATGAGCCAGCATGATGACCTGGTGAGGAGACATAATGATTTATTGAGGCGGCACAATGACTTGAGGGCAGATGTAGCTGAGGTGAGGCATGAGCTTGAAGCATTGCGGGCTAACCTTACCACTTCTCTCACTCGACACAGTCATGAGATGTTTGATATGCTACAGCACATTGCTGATATGATGGCATTGGATGCTGCTCCCTGATTCCACCATTTTCTCTCTCTATTATTCATTATCTGCTCTGATTCACTAACTTTTTGATACTCTGATATTATTGGGATATTTTTGCACTCTCTTGACACTTACACTGGTTTTGGATATTATTTTTGCGTTTCATTGATATACATTGATATTTGGATTTACTTGCTATATATGGATTTTTGAGACCTTGATTTCAGTTTTGGATATTCTGAGCTTTACATTGCTAGATGCCATGATTTTTGCCCAGTTTTCAGTTTCACCTCTCATTTATATCATTGATACATGTGCTTTGATAGTTGTTAGTGTGATCATTTCAAACAGGTTTTCAAAATTTAAGTTTAGAGGTATGCCTTCCAAAGCTAAACTTCTTTGTCGGCTCCCTTTTGTTTCACCCTATTAATATATTCTTTCTATTATCTATTGCTGCTTTGCACATTGAGGATAATGCACAGATTAAGTTTAGGGGTGTGTTAGCATATTTTACATGTCGCAATTAGTTTCTATGCATATGATATGATTTGAGAGTCTTGAGCCATGATTTTGATCTTTTGAGGACCATGATACTTAGAATTTAAAAATTGCTTGACTTGAGAGTCCAATACTTCTTGTATACTTTGTGAATGCCATTTAGGAGTAAATTTTTTGAAAGATTGATATCTTACTTGTATTTGTGGTCCACATCATCCTGATATTATGATTATTTTGAGATTCACTCTAGGATTCTACACTAGCACAGGCGCACATTAGTATTCATTTGTGGGGTACATGCTTTATTGACTATTGATTTAGTTATATCCCAATTGAACTAGTAGTGCATTGAAAGCTTTCATTCCTGATAAAGATAGATAACAAACCCTTTTTACTAAGTAGCCGGGATTCTAGCCTTATCAAGCACTGAATATCTCACGCCGAAAGGTGGTAGGCCCAAACTGTAGGTTAAAAAAAAAAAAAAAATTACAAAAGCAAATAAAAAAAAGTGAGGACTTCTTCCAAAAGGTGAGAAGTGGGAAATGATTAGATGGAGGTCATTTTGATTTGTAGCCTAGTTGATTTGAGTTTCTAAGTCTTTAGGGGTGTTTAAACACCTAATGCCCTAAAGCCGTCTAGTTTGGGAGTCATTGACCTAACGTTCGACTTCATAGATTGCTAAAAAGCTTAATAGATTAACACATTACACCATGCTTCCATCTTTGATCCTCTAAGATAGTTAAAAAAAATTCTAGTGAAAAGAATAAGTGCACCTAGATGAATAAAGCTTTAATAAAAGGTCAATTCTTTGTCTTGATGATCGGTACTAGATTTGTATGCTAGTTTGAGGCCAGATGTGATTATTTCTTTGGTTGGCTTAGATTGCAACATATTTGATGCCAATTCACTTAAAAAGGATTCTAGAGTTGTTTTTATTTGCATGATTATTGTCTTGACGTGTGGAGGACCATATTTGCTTGCTTGATGTTGAGATTTTGGGAGATTACTTGGAAAGGGTTGAAAAATTGCATATTTGAGGTAGTTTTCTCCTAATGCTTGTTTTGTATATTGGTGCCTCTTTAGTGAGAAATAGCTCAATATTTGTGGGTATCATTTCTGGAAACCTTCACGGGACTTCACTCGTCCACTAGGGGTAACCTAGGGGTTTAAAAGGCTTATTGCATACGTTAAATGCATCGTGTTCCTTACGAAAGTGGCGCTATCATTTTATTGATTTCTAGTTCATAGTTGTATAGATGTTTATTTCTTTCTTTTCTTTGTAGTTCATTGCTAAGGACTAGCAATATCTAAGTTTGGGGGTGCGATAAGTGCTCAAATGTGATGCATTTTAACACCTAAGCTAGGGTATTTTAGTTCATTCATCTATCTTACTTTCATGTTTTAGTATTTATTTGTGTTTTTGCCTATTTCAGGTTTATAAAGTTCAAACAGGCTAAAAAGAGCCATTTAGCTCAATTTTGGAGCTAAGGAGCAAATCCAGAAAGAAGTCAGAAAATTACACCAGAGGAACTTCGATCAATCGAAGGAAATCCCGATCGATCGAAGCTGGCTATAATCAATCAAAATGAGGCGGTGCCAGCTCAGCATTGTAGATAAAGCCCGGAAGATATTTTTGAGGACACGTCAGCTTCGATCGATCGAAGATAAGTGTTTGATCGATCGAACTGACTGCTGGCAGTGTGCTGTCTAATTCCCGAGCATGCAGGACTCTATCTAACTTGAGTAGCTGCGAATTTCCTCCAATCATAGGCTATATTTCTGACTTGGTGCCTACTCAAAGAGGCTTGTAATAGATATATTGAATAATTATTGTAAAAATATCATAGAGAGTTGTTCTTACCAAATATAGAAATAGTTTAGCTCTCTAGAACTAGGGTTTTGGGAAGAAAGTAAGGATGAAGATGATGATCCCAACCTCCAAGCTATCCCTTAAAGGTTCCACGACCAGTATAATGAGTGGCTAAATCCTTCCCTTGGGGCTAGAGATAGCCCTTAGGCTTGCTTCTTAAACCTAGCTTTTGTGTATTTTGGCGGATTTTAGTTGTAATTGATGTTTTGACCATGAATAAATATAGATCTTGTGATTTTTACATAATTTGCATGGATTAATGCTTTCAATTGATCATTTACTTCTATCTATATGTCTATGCATGCGAGAATGAATGTTCATATATTTTCCTCTAGATTAATGAAATTGATGCATGTCTATGTGTGTTGATGTTGTTAATCTAGTGATGGTCAAGGCATGGTGATTAATTGATTACTCTTGTGGTTTATTTGATAGTTCATACTTATTTCTTGATGGATTGTACCACTCCCTTGGTTTAATTAGCTTAATTTTCATGTCACTAGTTTAGATGTAGTGTAATTGCTCTAATTTCTTAGATAGGTGGGCAATCTATTCTTGTTGTTTAATGTTCCATACTTATGAGTGCAAGAAGTACATTTCTTTAGATTATTGTGTGTGCACTAATTGTGGTTTAATTGAATGGTTTTTAGTCTCATTTGATAGGTTGTGTTATTCACTAGATTGACTAGACAATTTATACTTATTTGCCATCCATTATGCTTTGTTTTCAATTAGTGTCACACACACACATTTTACAACTTGAATTTTTCCATTAATTTAGAATTGCTAGTGTTTGGTGAAGCAAAGCTTAATGGTGAACTCTAAGCCCCAAGACCTTTCTCCCATATTACTTTCTCAAAATTCTAGATTGTCATTTAATTGTTTGCTTTAATTGAACCATTAACTTAATCAAATCAAACCCTCTTTTGATCATTCGACCTACTAATCCAACATTGATTCCAAAGTACCGTTCATTTTCCTTGGGACGATCTCTACTCACTCTTGCTTATTTAATAGTTAGTAGTGGTAGTAACATTCTATAAATTCAAATTTGACCATATTTCACATCACATTGTAATTTGGTTATCATCATAGACGACAAGAGAGGTGGCACACCAAGAAACTACCATCTGCAATTTTAATTTTTTCAAGGCTAGAACATGGTAAGTAAATGCTAAAAAGATTAGAAAGGCTGGTCATATTTTTAGAGGCTCCAGAATTGACGATCCATTGAGTAAAATTTTAAAAAAAGAAAGGGCATTAAGTGCACTACCTGTTTGTGCAAGAAAAACATTAGGAATACCGGATGAGGAATTAAATTTAAGCAGCTTCAGAAGGTGATCCATCTGCTCCTTGCGTAAGTGACTTGTCTCAGCTTCATTAGCAGCTGGAACTGGCGTGCGCGTCGCGATGCAACCAAATTTGTGCAAAATAGTGTTGCCAAGTTTTAAATTTATAAAGGCCACTACTACCTCTAACTAAAAATATAGCTAGTGTGAGTAGGGATCGTCCCAAGGGATTAGAGGCAATGTGGTAAGGAAACAAAGTTAGGTTAGTAGGTCGAGTGATCAAAAGTGGATTATTTGGTTGATTAAACTAGAATGCAATTGAAATTAAAGCAAGTGAAATACAATAACTTTAGAAGATAAGGAAAAAGATATAGAGGAGAGGACTTAGGGTACTAGATCTCATCACTAAGCTTGACTTCACTAGACATTAGCAATTGTATATCAATGGGGAAATTGAATTGTAATTTGTGTGTGTGTGTAACATTAATTGAAACTAGGCATCAATGGTAAATAAGTATAGATTATCTAGCCAATTCAAATGGAAAGCACAACCTATTAAATGAGACCAAAATTCATTCAATGAAACCACAATTTATGCACATACAACTATCTAGAAACATACACCCTTTACATTCAAAGTATGGAATACCAAGGAACAAGAATAGATTATCCACCTATCTATGAATTTAAAGCAACTACACTACATCCACACTAAAGACATGGAAATTAAACTAAGTAAGCTAAAGGTGTGGCACAATCCATCAATAAACAAGTGTGAACAGTCAAATAAATTACAAGAGTGTTCAATTAGGCACTATGTTTTGATCGTCTCTAGATTAACTTCATCCATACATATAGACATGCATAAATTCCACTAAATCTAGATAAAAGCACATGAATCATCCATTCTAGCATACATAGACATATGATTAGAAATAGATAATCAATTGAAAGCATTAATCCATACACATCACGTAGAAACCACAAGATATATATATAAATCTAAGATCAAAACAATTATTACAAGTAAATCCCCAAAAATATACAAAGCACTAGGTCTAGGAAGCAAACTAAGGGGCTATTCTAGCCCCAAGTAGATGTCTAGCCACTCATTGAAGTAGTCATCCAACCCTCAAGGGCTATCTCCATGGTAGGAATGGCCTCATTCTTGATAGAAACCCTAGAAGAATGGAAGAACTCCCAAAAATGTGTAAAGCTCTCTATGCTTTAGCCTCCTCTCAAAGATAGATGATATGTTGAGATATCAAGATATGAAAAGTGAATGAATCCGCTCGAAAAGTGGCTAAAAATCCTTATATAGGAGGCTCAAGTGTCACACCCAATGGTTTGGACTTGTGCATTAAGGCTCTCTCAATGATTGCACCGTGAGCTATCTTTTAATGAGTTGGACTTTATTTTAATTTGGGCTTGAGGAGGTTCAATCGATCGAACTGTGGTGAGATCGATCAAACTAAGGTGAGATCCATCGAATGCTGCAGAGATCAATCATCCTTGGCGGTGCCTTTTTGAATAAAGATAAATCTCTAAGATATTTAAGATATTTTGGGAAAGAGACAAAAGTGATAGATGGGGTGGTATGTGAGGAAATGATCAAACAATTTCGATTAATCGAAGAAAAGATGGATCGATCGAAGATGGTGAAATCTTTTGGATAAGGACAAAGGCTTGGATCCATCTTGAAATGTCTAAATTGATCATTTCTAGATCAATCGAAGAATTGTTGAGATCGATCTAACTTGTTGCTTTTCCACAACTTTGCTTCCACTTTGCTCCTTTCTTCCATCCAGCTTGAGTTAGCTTTTTTTATGCTCTAATTTGGCTGAATTAACTTATTTTGGGAATAAGCGCCTGAAAAAGGGCAATAACATGAAATTAGTCTAAGACGGGAAAACAAGACAGATAAAGATCTTAGAATAACAAAGCTTAAGGAGTTTAAATGCGAACTTTTCAGCGCTCATCACACCCCCAAACTTAAATGTTAATAGTCCTTAGCAATGAAATTTAAAGAAAAGGAATGAAATGAACAACTATACAACTATGTGATGAGCACCAAAAAGTGCGCATTTAAACCCGTTAAGCTTAAGCATTCTAGTACCTTTATCTATCTTACTTTGCCGTTTTAGACTTATTACGTGTTATTTATATTTTCAGGCACTAATCCCAAAATTGAGCTAACTCAGCCAAATAAGAGCTTAATTGAAGCAATCCTGAGATAAACCAAAGGAGGGAGCAAAGTGGAGAAAGAAAGGAGCAAAAAGGAATTAAGTTGTGCAGCTGAAAAGTTCGATCGATCCAACTTAGAGTTCGATCGATCGAACATCTATGATCGATCACAGTACTTTTCGATAGATCCAACCTTTGCCTTTGCTGAAATTCCAGGTTCGATCGATCGATCATCACCTTTAATCGATCGAACCCTATTTTATCCTATTCAAATGATTGATCTTATCCACAGCTGTACGCCTACCAACCACTTTTGTCCTTTTCCCCATAAATATCTTCGAAATATCTCAGCCTTGTCCTTATCCGGAGGAGTCAGACCACTTCGATCGATCCAAGATGCAGTTCGATCGATCGAACCCAACTTCGATCGATCTAAGTTAAGGTTCGATCGATCGAACTTCCTCCAGCGAGAAAAAGTTAAAGTCCAGCTCATTTATTCCGTCCTTCATCCAATCATTGGAGAATATGCCTTGCACGAACATAGCTCATCATAGGGTGCATTTGACCTACCTATATAAGGAATATGATACATTTTTTTGGAGGGGGGCTCTAGAGTTTCTTGTCACACATTAAAAATCATCTTGGAGGCTATTCTTAGAGAGGAAGAAGGGAGGAAGCTAGAGCAACCATTGGAGGAGATCTTCACCCACAAGGAGCAGCCATGGAGTTAGCCCTTGAGGGTTGGATCATCACTACCATTAGTGGCTAGACATCTTCTTGGGGCTAGAGTTAGCCCCAAGCATGCTTTCTATACTCTAATCTTGTGTATTATTGAGGGATTAGTGTTGTATGATACATCTTGATATTCATGTATATATAAATCTTGATTATTTCATGGTTTGTATGGTTTAATGCTTCCAATTGACTATTCTATTCTATCCATATGTCTATGTATGCTAGAGTAGGATATTCTTGTGCTTATCTCTAGATTTAGTGTTTTTGATGCATGTCTATGTGTATTGATGCTATAGATCTAGAGATTATCAAGATGATATGCTTAATGAATGCTATTTTGGTTCATTTGATGGTTTATGCCTAATCTTGATGATTTGTGCCTCTCCCCTAGTCTAGATAGCTTTATTTTCATGCTAGTAGTGTATATTTAGTGTAGTGGTAGTGTAATGTTAGATGGGAGGACAATCTACTCTTGATGTTTGATGTTCCATGCTTGTGAGTCCAAATGGCATATTCCTCTAACATTGTGTTGCATGTGGATTGTTAGCTTAATGAAGGATTAATGACTTGTTTTGATCTATTGTGCTATCCCCATGTTGTCTAGACAATATATGCTCTATTGTTTAGATATATTGTGCTCTTCACATGATGTTTAGACAATACTTGCTTGATTTGTCATCCTTGCCAATTGAATCAACCTAATGTACACACACCATTATCATATTGCAACACATCCATTACCCTCAATTTTCACTTGTTAGTAGTATAGAAAAGTATTGCTTGGTGGTGATCTCTACACCCCAAGGCCTCTCTCTCTCTTGTTTACCTCATATTATTTTATTTAGTTGAATTCAATTTAGCTTAATCAACCAACCAACCAATTGTGTGATCACTCGACCTACTAACCCTAATTACCATAGTTTCACAATTCGATACACCATCAAATCCCTTGGGACGATCCCTACTCGCCCTATCTATATTTTATAGAGAAAGGTAGTAGTGGCCTTCTATAAATGTAAAACTTGGCCACCTCCTAAA